GTTGTTCGCTTATTTGTTTCGGTGGAACGCAATGAGCTGATTCTAAAATTTAAATGAAAGCAACAAAGAACCAAGAATAGTTGAATGTTCCTGAAGGAAAAAAAAGGTAGAACAAATATCAAGATTTTTTGTAAGAATATTGCAAAAGCATAGCATTGTCATAGAGATAGAAAAATTAATCAACAGAAAGGAAGAGAGAGCATCCAGGAAGGCCCACCCATATACAGACACTTGACCCTGTAGATGAGAGGAGAGGGGGGGAGCTTTTTAATGAACAGTGCTATGATAACTGGGAATCCATGTTTTTAAAAACTGAAATTGTGTTTCTACTTCACACTATACACAAAACTCATTCAAAGATTTAAAATTGAAAGAAAATTTATAAAACGTTAGAAGGATACTGTAGAAAAAATATCTACATGAAGTATGGGTAAACAAAAAAATTAATCAAGATACAGATAGCACTAACCATAAGGAAAAGATTACTAACTTTGACTACATAAATTTAAGAAACAATGTTTATCAAAAGATACCCTAAGAAGAAGGGCAACCCAGAGTGGGAGAAGTTATCAGCTACACAAAGAACTGACCACAGTTATATACACAAAATATCATGACACAGAAAATCCAACAGAAAAATGCATGAGAGACTTAAATGGGCACTTCAAAAACAAAAACAAAATCAAAAAAAAAAAATCTAAATGTCTAATTAATATATGGAAACTGTTCAACCTCATTAGTAACCTCTGTGCTGGATCTCTGAACATGTGAGATTTTGCATGAGCATGAGTCGTTTAAAAGCAGTCTCTGTTTCCTACAGCTCTCTGGCTCTCCTGTGCACAGGCCCCACAGGCCTAAAAGCCAGATGTTTTGGGGCTCATCTTCCCAGTGCAGGACTCCTGGGCTGGGAAGCTCAATGTGGCGCTTGAACCCCTCGCTCTTTTGAGAGAGCCTCTGCAGTTGTGATTATCCTTTCATTCAAGGGTCTTCTACCCGGGGTGTGGGTGTTGACTATACTGCATCTCCACCCCGCCTCCCCATCCTGTGGTTCCTCTTTACAGCTTTAGTTGTGGAAAATCTTTTCTGCTATACTTAAGGTCATTCTCATTGATAGGTGCTCTGTAAATAGTGTAATTTTGGTGTGCTCATGGGAGGAGGTGAGCTCAGGGTCTTCCTACTCTGCCATCTTGGCCACACCTCCTACAATTATTATTTGGATATGTTTTATGCAATTTTTTTGTGAGCATGATGCATTTCATAATAATAAGAATATTGTTGGGTTGCTTATTGTGACTCTAAAAACTCCAAATTCAGTTATTAGAGCACATTATAACTTGTGTAGAAATCATGACAATGTTCATAAAAATACTTTTCCCCCCATTGTTAAAGTCTGTATTATAACAACAGGATTATGGCAAGTAAAGATAAAAGTCCTACTTGCTTCTCAGTTGTATCTTATTGCTTCTTCATTCAAATTGTCTGTCCCTAGCACAGATTCAAAGAATTTCCATGTTTCCTCTAAATTTGATCTTTAAATGTCTTAAGACTATATCCCAACTCCCAACCCCTACTCCAAGGTCTCATTATCTCTGGAGGGGTTCCCAAGAGGTTTGAGTATTTTTGATAGGAAATCATAATAGCCTAGTCAAATTAATTTAAATCACTACTGCCTTAAACTGAGAACTGTGTACATCAAGGAGTCTTGCTTCAAGTAAAGACAAAGAAAAATAGAGTAGAATCTCCCTCAGTACCAGCTGTTCTTCTTTGTCCTTTTCCACTTGAGGGTAGGATTTTGGTAACAATTAAAGGAATACATTGACTCAGATCCTTCTAAGGGCAACCAGCTATTCACATTCATACATCAATTTCTTGCCACTAGAGGAATAGCTAGAGCTCCCTAGAACATGAGTTCTGATTAAGATATCCACTGCATAATTCTGCTTAGAATCTTTTCATATATATATATATACACACACACACATTTTTATGTATATTTGGTTGGTATCAATATATGAGACTAAAATTGTACTTAATCTGTATATTTGACCAGCGCTTTTCAGATTTACTTGTTCTATATTAGTTTGGATCCAGTATACTAATTGTCCCACACACTAGTGCTTGATCCCAGGTCCCAGATCATTGGAGGTGGTGCAGGAATTTTCTTCGTACCTAAACATTTGATTCTGCAGCCTTTCAAGATCTTTGGGCAGGACATAGATGTTGCTTTCACTGCTGTCTTAAGCAGGGCCACAAAGTTCTTGACAAAAAGTTTGAGAACAGAGAATCAAAACTAAAGACCCATGAGGTCAGAACTCTGCTCTTAAGAGTAGCGTTAGAACTCCCTGGTCATGGATCCTATTTTGATGAGGTGATGAATGACCAAGATATGGATGAAACTCCTCATGAATTTATTTCCAAATGTACTTGGACATTTTTTTGGCAGAGGTCTTATTAGCCTTAATTGTCCTGTGGCTGGAGATATTTTCATTACTCAATTTTTTAAAAAATATATATTTATTTATTTATTTTTGGCTGCGTTGGGTCTTTGTTGCTGCGCGTGGGCTTTCTCTAGTTGTGGCGAGCGGGTGCTACTCTTCGTTGCAGTGTGCGGGCTTCTCATTGCAGTGGCTTCTCTTGTTGTGGAGCACGGGCTCTAGGCGCCCGGGCTCAGTAGTTGTGGCTCGCGGGCTCTAGAGCACAGGCTCAGTAGTTGTGGCGCACAGGCTTAGTTGCTCCTCAGCATGTGGGATCTTCCTGGACCAGGGTTCGAACCCGTGTCCCCTGCATTGGCAGGTGGATTCTTGACCACTGCGCCACCAGGGAAGCCCCATTACTCAATTTTTAATAAGTAGTTTGTAGCACTTGATGTCCTTCTGTGAGTAGCTTTTTTTCCCCAAAAATTGGCCCTTAGAGGCACCAAGCGGCCAAGTTTCCTTTTCTGTGTGGCATGAGACAAATGGAAAGGCAGCTTGTACTGTGACCTGAAAAGCTTGTAAACATCTTACTACTTCTTTTCCCCAGTGGGAGGTCACTAATTTACACATGTCCCAAAGCATTAGGCTGGAGAAGCCTACCCAAATCTTGAATGGGCTACCACTAGTTATAAGGCTACTGATCTTTGTACCTCTTTCTTACAAGAGCTAGTGTAAATGAGAGAAAGGTAATGTTTATTTTGGGAGAATATTTCTCTGTGGTCTGGATGGCCCCAAAGGTATATTTTGGGAAGCCTCTTGGGCTTTTTCTAATAATCATTTATTTTATGAAAATCATAAATTTAGCAAAAAGTGTTAACTAAAACTTCATATGTGTAATTGATAATAACGGCAGTAACTCTTTTGTATGCCAAGAATCTAAATCCATTTTAACAACATTACGAGCTAAAGAGTAGATGAGTTTGTTTCCATTCCAGTTGAAGCAAATTGATTTGGGTGTTTTTTTTTATGGATATTAAAAGTGAAGAGCATATTGACCAATCTGTTTCTTCATGGGAAGAGTCACATGAATATGTCTTTTAAACTAAAACTAAGACAGAAACAGAGTTTGCCTCCATGGGAATAATTACACTGTTACAATTGATGGTCAGGAGCTGTAAGGTTTTCTAGGTGGCCATAAGGGGGAGACAAAGAGCAACATAGGAGACCAGGGAATGTACAATGCCAGAGATTTAGTCAAGATAGAAGATCACTTTAATTCCCTTTAGAAGTGCTTGTTATTTTATTTCAACAGTATTTGCCACAAGTATGAGGTGTTGTGGTTCCATTTAGTGTGACCAACCACTAATGCTTTAATTTTTTGAAATTGTCCATTCTTCTAATAAGTTGCTGGCTATCTTGTGCTCAGGGGAGATAAGATAGAGGTATAGTCCTTTTTAATCTCCTTTAAAACTTTAAAGTAGCCATTACTACTTCCCTGAAGTATCCTATGGTGGTTTCTTTCCTTAGAAAATTATCCAATTTTCTAGAAATTTCGGTATTTCAGATATTCGATCTAGTAACCTATAAGAATGCATGGGCTCCTTTGTCTAATAACAGTCTTAGACATGAGGATGGAAGTTTGGGTATCCTTAAGAATGAGCAAAGGACACTTGGATACAAGCCCTGAGGTTAAGACAAGCTTCCTCCAGGACTCCACGAAGTTGTTATTTGAAGCATAGGATCTTTAAAACCTTTCAGACTTGGTAGGGCAGGGTCTTGGTATTGAGGGATGTGTGCCTTGGATGCATGACCCTTATGGTTAAATAATTCCTGTTTGAGTAACTAGAAGTAGTCTGTTTGGTTTTTAGTAGTTTTTATGTGGTCATTTGTGACGCAGTAGCCATACACATAGTTCCATGCACGTAGAGCTGCAGGCTGTGGCAGACCCAGTAATATAGTATACGGTAGTATATAGTGTGCGGGCTAAAGTGTGCGTCCTGAGTCCAACTTCCAGGGACGGAAATGTGGTTTCACAACTTGCTACCCCTGTATCTCTGCTTCTTTCTCTGAAAAATGGAGACAGTCATAGTACTTATTCCATAGGACTGTTGTGAGGATAAACAAATAAAAAGCACTTATAACAGTTCCCTGGCAAATGGCATTCACCGGACCTGCATAGACATCCTTCGGAGCAAGTTTGCTCTGGAATACAGAATACTCTGAGAGTGTCACAGGTACACGCAATTAATTCTGAACTTAGAAACAAGCGGCAGAGCCACAGTCTCTCTGTAAGAGGGAGAAGGGCTCCAACTTCCACTACAGAGAATGTGGGGAAAAGTCAGGTTTTGTCTTTGTCTCTTTGGCAACCTCTTAAACCCAGCATTATCCATTCATTTACTCATCCCTAGCATCACGGGTAAGAACACCAGTTCTGGAGTTGAGGTGCCTGGGTTCAAATCCTTTCTCTACCTATAGGGAAGCTAATCACATGCTGAGACAACCAGAAAATCAGGTACCAATATTTTCTTAGAGGCTAAATTTTATATTTAATAAAAATTCAATAGTGAACATGGCATAAGTCAGAACTTTGTTGAACTTCCATTTTCTTGGTGAATTTGTGTCTAAATTGAAAATCATTCTTGGAGACAAGCTCTACAGTTTTTTCATTGCTGTGGGCTTTGGTCAAGCCCCGACTCTTCCTCTTATTAGCTTTGTGACTTCAGAAGCTAGTTAATATCCTTAAGTGTTCATTTTCTCGTCTATGAAATGGGATAATAATATCCGTAAGATAACTCATAGGAAATACCTCACACAATGTCTGGGACATAAAGACTGTTCATTATGTGTTAGGTGTCTTTACTGTTCTTTCAATTAACAAATATTTACTGAGTACTTTTCATGTGAAAAGCACCTGACGAAGGACACTAGTGAAATAAAAGGAAATTATCCTAGAATTGGGAGAAGGATGTGCTGATGGGATTCAGAAGAAGACATTCCCTAGGTTAGTTCTCCACCTGAGGAGTCTCTCTATTCTCAACAAAGCTAATGGAATGATATTGAAAACAACAAAAATATGGTTTAAAAGCAAGCTAGAGGAAAATGGGTAGATGTACACTCCATTAATCCTGAGGATGCATCTCTAATTGGAATGCCACCCAGCCAAAGAGCCGGGGTGGGTTGGAATGAGATTATGAGAAAGCTTGGGGATGCTGGTTTGTGGGGTAATAAGTGAGTGTGGGTTAATTCGGTCTGCTGCACTCAGGAATCCTGTTCCATTGGAGCCTGTCCTGGCCATGGCCCTCTCAGCACAGTAGCTGTCGATAACTGACAGTGCCTTGATTCCAAGGTGACCAGAGGAGTCAGACACCTGTTTTGTGCTAAGAACCAATGGGCTTATGGAGTTGGTAGGGCTGCTGGAATGATTTTTTCCTTTGGTCGAAGCAAATGTACCCGAAGATGAAACTAACCAAGAAGACCAAACCACAATAGCTTTGTAACCTCCAGTTAGAGTTCATACCACATTCTTGGGGTTAGGTTATACCCAAGAATCTTTCCAGAGGCAGAAGAAAGGACACATAGGATGGGCTAGGATCTTGAGGACTATCATTGATACCATGTCTGGGAACAACACTGGTGTTCACTAAATACTCTCACACAAGGACTGAATGCTGACCTCAGGGAGGTTGACTCTGAAGAGAGATTCAGTTTTCAGGTTGTCCACACGAAAGTGGGCAGACAGGCTACTGTGGGGCCTGGTGAAAGCTGAAGAGCTCTCTTATATGCGTCTGCAGGTTGTGTTCAAAGACGTTCACCATCATCAAACAATAGATTTTTATCCCATGTCATGGATAAGAATCCAGATGCAGACGGAGTTTAGTGATTTTCCATAGAACCGAAGCTGGTTCAGGGCTCTCTCCATTATACCAGCCTGTCTCGCTTGCTGTTAGAAAACTTCTCAAAGCAGAAGTTAAGAGCTTTGTTCAGGGCTGGCTGGGGTGAGGGAGTGATATCAGATTATAATGGAATCCGTGGTCTTTAGAACTACCGGCCATAAATAGAAGCAAAGAGCCTGCAGAAACTCAAGATGCCAAGATGAAACATCCTCTTCTGGAGGATGAGGATGGTGAAGCAAGTCTCTTGATGAGAGCAAGAGTACCAGCAGAGAAACAATAAAAGAAGCACAGCAGCCTGAGAAAGTTGGTCCCATTTTGTCTTAGGACCTTAAAGGCCTTCCTGAGGACAGGTAGGAAGTAGGATTCAGGCTCAAGGTACACTAGGCAAGAAAGAGGGTGGCAGAGTTGGTGAGTGATCACCCCCCGTCCTGCACACACCCCCCTTTGTGCACATCTTTTAGTCCTCAGTCTGGATGTACATCTGCATGGGGTTTTCCTGCCACTCAGGCAGACAGGCCAGGCTTGCAGCCACTTCCTTCTGGACAGGCCAGCCCCAGGCCTCGAAGAAAGGAACCAGATTCTTCTGTACCCTTTCAGAGAACTTCTTCACCCACAGATTCATCTTGCCAGTGTTGTCTTTGGGGATGTCAGAGAGGGTCTGGTACTCAGCAAAGAGCTGGGTGAATGGCTCCCATCCAAAGGCCTCCTGGAGCTGGAAGAGAAGGAAGGGGCAGGATGAGGTACAAGTTTGTGAAAATACCTGCAACATGCGTGTTCGTGAGTGCATCTCATTTCTGGTGATTTCTTCCCCTTAATCATTCACTAGCTTCACTTCTTTGCTTGCCCTTATCTCCCCATCTCAACCCTGCACATAAACACAATCTTATTGGCTCATTCCACTTCTTGGCCACAAACTCTGTACCCCCTGAATGTAGTAGGGGACTACATGAAGACCCTAATGGCTGAAAAGAGGTAAATACTCAATAAATGACAGTTATCATTATTATCCCTATTTTAAAAAATTATATCCCCAGTTCCTAAGTGTTTCCCAGGCATCAGACAGGTTTGAGCCTGACTGAGATGGGGATTTTGGGAGCCAAAATCTGGGAACTTCCGACACCTTCCAGACATAATAAAACCTTCCAGACAGAATAAAACCCTTGTTTTTTTCTCTTTTTCAGCCGTCTCAGAGCTGTGACTATTTTCAAGGCTACTGTTTTTCTCTGTGGAACACTGCCTTTGGGACAAAACAAGGAAGAAGCAGGTATGTCACAAGGAGCTCAAAATGAGAGTGACTCATACTTTATAGGGAACAGCCCACCTGAAAGCCATGGGCAGGAGACTCTTGCCAAGATTATAGAGATTTAGAATTAGCAGGGATCTTGAGGTTTCCGAGACCACCCCCTTTTATGGAGGAGAATCCTCTGACTCTGAGGTGTAAAAGCCCGAGGACAGATGGCATTTTGATCAGCCTCCCTCTGATCTCACTGTTGTGCTCTCACTGCTTATCTGCTCTCACTGCTTGGCCTTTGACAATCGTCCTGCTCATCTCTCTTAATTAGTAATCAACAAATTAAACATTTATCACACATATAACGTTAAAAAATATCTACAACGTGCCAGGTATTTCTAGGCAAAATGATTAAGGCTCTTGTTTATCTGGAGGTCACTGGTCAATGGGAGAGACAGACTTGTAAGTAAACAAATGACAAAAAAAGTTGGCTTGTCAAGGAGATGATGTCGGGAGAAGAGGACAAGAGAGCTGAATTTTGACAGGTGACTTGACAGGTAACAGACAAGGTGTTCAAGCACGTTGCAGCTGCAGGAAGGAAACGTGAGGAGGTATAGGAACAAAAACAGCAAGATGTGTTCATAGCGGGAAGCAGCTCGGTAAACTGCAGGATAATTATGGAGACAGGAAATTGGGAGATGGAGATGGAGGTGTTGGCCAAAGCCTGATGATAAAGGGCCTTCTGCACCCAGCTAAGCAGCTTCCATTTTATTCTGTGTGTGAAGGAGAACACTTGACGAGCTTAAACATGGAATATTCAGATTATTTCGGAAGTGGTGTGGAAGATGGATTATAGGTGGTTGAAGCAAGAAGCTGGAAAAACTGAGGAGGCTTTTAAAACAGAAGAGGATCCTGAGGATCTATGCTAAGGCAACAGCAGGAGGAATGATGGCGAGCAGACCTCCCACAGGTGAAGAAAACAGAAGGTATCTCTCTGTCCTGGGACCAAGTCTCAGGCTCCAAGGTGAGGGGTCTCCCCAAAGCTTTTGCAAAATGATATTCATGGTGAGTGGGTCAGTAGGTAGGGTGGAATTAGAGCTTTGCCTTACACTTCAGTGGCAACTACCATGTAAGGTCTCTTTCCCTGTAGACCCTCAGAATGGCTCTAGAAGAATCCTGAGCTGATGCTACACAGTTATCTCATTGACTGGGGCTGTCTCACACTCACTCTTCAGAAAATGAGTGAAAAAAGAAAAAAAAATCAGAGGGAGGGTTCAGAAGTGCAAAAGCCTGGGCTTGTCATTAGCTCCTGATTTTAGGTTCTGGGTCCATCATTTAAATGTGTGACATTGGACAGGATGCTTAAACTCTCTAACTCAGTATGTGCCTGTAAAAAGTGGGCAATACCCACTATCTAAAGAGTCATGGTAGACAGTATAGGAGATCTGATATGGGGAGTGGCTTTGACAACTTGAAAATATAAAAATTCAAAGCTGGATAGGGGAGGGGAAAGGGATTTATGCTTATTTCATAGGAAATCGACTCACTTTGGGACTTCGGTGTTCTTCTGTTGGGTTGGTTATTTACTTATTCATTCTAAAGACATTTTGGGTTCAAATGGGTGATGGAAATATGAGAATCACATTGACAGATTTACCTCCTAAGAGGCCTTCTTGTAATGGAGTTGCCCCTAACACATCACGGTAATTATGAAGGGATGCAACACTCACTTGACGCATAAAACTAAGGTGAGGGAAAACAAAGCAAAGCAAAATGATCAGCATTTCCAAGGCACCTACTTGGGGACAAAGGACGGACGAATGAGTGGGAGCGCTTTGACTCAGTCTCAGGAGTGTCTCACTCAGAGCTTCTGCTCTTGACTGATATACCCAGAGACTACATTCTCTACTTATTTTCTTTTCACAGTAGTTTTCATTTCCTCTTACATATCATCACAAAACCACAGTACGTGAGTGGGACGGGCATCATTATCTCCATCTTAGAGATGTATGACCTGAGAAGCACCGCCATGCAGCCAGGGGAGGTGGTGGGCCCAGGCTGATAGGGGTGGTGAAGGAGTTGGAGAGCTCCTGGGATCCAGGATGCTACACGACTGAGGGTCTAGTGGCCCCCATCTCCCTGAATTTCTGTTCAGTACCTTTAGATACGTTTCCAGAGCCGTCCACACATTCCAGTCATTCAGGGGCGCTCCCTTTCCCAGGTGTGTTTTGATCCTTTTCTCTCGTTCTGGAGGGCTCAGAGCTGGGTGGGCTTGAGCCCTGGGGATGTGCAGGACCGTCTCGTGCACATAGACTGACCAGAGGTTACAGGTGGCCTCGGTGGTGTGTGGGGGGAACTCCCACCCGTGCCGCTGCTGGTTGTGGCCCAGCTCGTGGATGGCTCCCCACAGACCTCTGCTTCTCATGCCCATCTCACTGATGAGCTCCTGCACCGACTGCAGGTGGCACATGATAGGGTATCCTGAGTGCATCCAGCCTGGGAACGCAAAAGGAAGAGTGAGGCATGGTGGGCGTGGTCCACCCAACCCCATCTCACTTCATTCCTCTCCATGGTGTAACTTTTTCTCGCCATCCTGGCTGCTGCCATAATTCCAGAACCTCCATGCTGATTGGAAAGCAGATGCTTTCTTTGACTTGGTCTGAAGAGTCCCGACCCTTCTTCCCGGCCTCCATGCTGGAGTTATGCTTCACCTTCTCTCTGGCCCCCCAAATGTTAACACTTTATATAGTCATTCTCACTATAATTCAGTGCTTCCTTTTGTGTGAGTTTTCTTTGCATGTGAGTCTGCGACATTAGGTCCTGTGTCTGAATTTGAGATCCCTGAGGCTAGGGCAGTGCCGTTCCTTCTCCTGTGTACGCTACTGTTGGCCAGAGTTATACTTTTTAACAGTAAAAATCTTGTGGTTTTTTGAAGATTAGAAAACAGGTCCAGAGGAATTTTCCACATGTTGGAACCAGATTTCCGTGGTTTTTTTTTTTTTTTTTTTTAAGATGGCCTTCTTTCCTCTAAACCACTGAATACTTAACATAAACCTCTTTACTCTCTTTTCATTGCCAACACGTTTGAAGGAGATATTTCTGTTTTAAACTCTCCTTGAAACAACGCTCACTGCCATCTTGAACTCCTGGTACCAATTTTTCTGAGACTGTTCTCCCTCCTGTGAAATCTTACGCTTTAGATGAACATGATTTACCTTTTCACATGTAAACATCTTTTCACCTCCATCAAAGTCCATGTCTTGAACATCTTTTTTTCCCTTACTTTACTGGTAAAATTATGCCTTACACATATTGGACGTTTAAAAAAGGCAAAATAGATGTCAGCAGAAGGAAGGAAATAAAGATCAGACAGGGAATATAAATAGAGATTAAAAAAACAATAGAAAAGATCGATAAAACCAACAGCCGGTTTTTTGAAAGGATAAACAAAATCAACAAACCCTGGCCAGGCTCACAAGAAGAAAAGAGAGGGGACTCCAATAAACAAAATAATAAATGAAAGAGGAGAAATAACAACTGATACCACAGAGATACAGAAAATCACAAGAGGATACTATGAACAGTTATATGCCAACAAATTGGACAACCTAGAAGAAATGGATGAGTTTCTAGAAACACACAGCCTGCCCAAATTGAGTCAAGAAAAAACAGATAATTTGAACAGACCAATTGCTAGAAGTGAAATAGAACCTGTAATTTAAAAAACTCCCTACAAACAAAGGTCCAGGACTGGACGGCTTCACAGGGAAATTCTACCAAACATACAAAGCAGAACTTATACCAATCCTTCTCAAACTCTTCCAAAAGATGGAAGAGGATAGAACACTCCCAAAGCCATTCTATGAAGCCGCCACCACCCTGATACCAGAGCCAGACAAAGACACTACAAAAAATAAAAATAAAAAACTACGGGCCAAAAAGAGGCAAAATAATAAATAAATGGTGTCCACAGACTAGGGGCATCCCTCTGGAGCACCCACCGGCTGAGATCTGCACATCAGCAACAATCCTCTCTGGACGGAGGAAAGGAAAGGGCTGGGCTGCCAGCCTGGCTATAGCCCGCATCATCTCATCCCAGAGGTGGAGTAAAGATTCGGGGTCCTCCAGGGCCTGGAGGTCTGCAGTTGGCACCGTCAAGATGATGTTGTCTGTTGCCAGCTCTCCCCAGGGAGCTGTGCTCTCCTGGATACGCCTCTTCCACTCCTCCAGGGATGTCTTACCTGGGAATAAAGGGCATGGAACCTGTCACCCACTTCCTCAACTTTCCTTGAGCTGAAAAACACAACTGGAACTAACTCCAGGAGGAGGACAGTGAAATGATGAACTACTATCATGTGGGTCTATGTGCTGTGAAGTGAAGGACAGGCCCCCAGACCCTTCCCTCTGTTCTGCCCGGAAGTCTCCATGGACACAGGGAGTCCCTCATCTCCTACCTCCACTGGCACCTCAGACAGTCCCTCCTCCTTTTGTCCACCAATCCTCTTCCCTCCCCTCCTTCAACAAGCCCATCAACACCACAGCACCCCCGGCTCTCCCACTCCCCTCCATGTTCAGTCCACTCACCCAGCCTGTAATATGGGGCAGGCACAGCCCTTTTGATGGTGACGGACACGGGGCCCAGTTTACTGCCCTTGGGCACGATGACATAGAGAAGGCCACCCCAGAGGCAGGAGACTGACAGTTTGGTCCTAGCCATGCAGCACTGGTGAGTTACCACAGGGGCTCGAGACAGCTTGCTGGCACTCGTCAAGTCATCGGTGTGGCAGCCAATCTGTACCTGGAGAGGCGATTCCACCATGTGTGCTGTGGGTGTGTGGTACTGTGTGGATGGAGGGTATTAAAAAACTCTAGCTTCCCCTTTCTATGAGCAGTGCATGCAAACCTGTGAGCTTTTAGCACTCCAAAAACCATATGGACTGAAAGGTACGCAGAATCATTTTTCTAGGGATTTAAGCAGCTCCACAATGGACCATGATCAGGCAGACCAGGCATAACCCCGAGGCTGATATTGACTAGGGTTCTGTGGTGCCTCTGTACCAGGCAGAACCTGGGCTCTCGCTCCAGGGTTCAAGCCCCTGAGGTGATTCCGATGCTGGGAATGAGGCAGAGGGAATCTTCATCTGCCCTTTGTGCACAGACAGGAGGCCTATCCAGAGGCAGTGGGATATGGGGTGATGGGGGGGAACTGGTTCTGTCTTCCCCCTTTGTCTCAGCCTCCCGTCCTGGTCAGGTAGATGGAGTGCATTTTGTCTGGAGTCCTGTGACTGCTTTTCTTAGGTTTAATGTAAGTGAGCTTGAGAAAGGAGACTAACCCAAAAGAGACCCTTACTGTGGTAGGAAGTGACCCTCAAAATTGAGGCGGGAAGAATTTTACTTCTGCATGACGGCCTATTTTTGTGAGTGACAGGGTTAAGTACACCCTTCAGCAATCAGGGTGAAGAGGTAAAACCCAGAAAGGCCGTGTTGGAGAAATGAGTGAGGTTCCGAATACGTAACAGGCGCTCCTTCGCTTCATAGCCCTGTTGGGAGGTGGAAACCTGAGGGCTTGTGTTTGAGGACTGGATCTGATGTTAGGAGCTCTGGCATCTTCAGTCACTCCCTTAGGCTCCCTGAAACTTAGCTGTTTCATCTGTGAAATCTGTAACGTGGGCAGAACAATGCCTTCCTGCACTCCTGGAAGAAGTGTCGCGAGCTGGATGAGAATGAAGCTCTGTGGCTCTGAGATGTGGCAGTGGCGTTCTGGCCTTACCTTCAGGCCAGCAAAAACTGCAGCTTCAGACAAGGAGACTTCTGCATTTTGTCCATTTGGGAGGTAGAGCCCTGTACTCACCCAGGAATCACCGCTGCCTGACAAAAGCCATAGGAAAGGCTGAGTTATTCCCCCACCTGACTCCACCCCACCTGGAACCTCACAGCCCCTCCCAGAGGTGCAGCCCTGCCCTGTGCACCTCATCTCATCCATGCTTCTTGCATCCATCCCACCTAATCCCTGAGCAGAACCCCAACCCCCGTCTCCTGGGAAGTACCTGTTAGAGAATGGAGCTGGCCTACCTGAGCTTCAGCACCTGCAATGTCCTGCAAATCTCGCTAGCCCCACCTTCCCCCAGGTCCCTCATTCTGTACCTGGGTTGCTTCCATCAATCTCCACTGTGATGGCGTGTTCTGAGGGGTACGAGCTGGAGCTGCAAGACCAGGTTCCAAGCCCCTGTGCCAGCTGAGAGCAGTCTGTGCCGGAGCGTGCCAGCTCCGTGGCCAGGCAGAGCAGGGCAGCCTCATAGGAGTCACTGGCAACTGGCTTTTCCCTGCTCACAGCTGGGAGGCCCGACAGATGCAGCATCTTCCTCAGGAGCCGGTGCAAGGAAGCATAAGCAGGGACCCCCTCTGCGGGGATCTGCAGGAAGCCTGCTGCATCTGCTCCCAGTTTGGCCAGCCAGCTCTTTTCCAGGTTCCCACCCCCGCGGTTCACGATAAGCTGGAATTCAGACAGTGCCTTGCGGAAGTGGTAGCTCTGCTTCTCAGGGGTAGGGACAGGGAAACAGCCTGGGTCCAGAGTCCGAGCTAGGATACTGAGGCCAAAGCAGTTGAGTATGACGTTACCAGGGAAACTAGCCAAAGTGGAGCGGCCGGGGTTCTGGGAGGCCCACCACCAGGCCTGGCCCGCGATCAGCAAGCCCCCGCCCTCAGCCACAAACTCCTGCAGCTGCTCAGCCTCCTTGTCACTGTAAGCCACGCCGCAGTAGACACTCAAGTCAGCAGTCAGGTGGGGCTCCAGACTGCATTCCAGGCCATGCTCCGACAGCAGGGCACACAGGTTTCTTAGACATGTGTTCACCCCAACTTTGCTCGTCTGGCCTCTGGCCAGCCAGCGCACAGCATTGAGCAAAAAGGGCCCCATCTTGGGCGTACAGAGCATGCCCTCGTGGGCAGCCAGAACCACGCGTCCCCGGCCATAGCGGGCAGCTGCCAGGAAGCAGCCGAGAGAGGCATCTAAGCCCAGGGGGAAGGCCAGGGCCCCATGCACCAGCAGCTGCGAGGGGATTCCCCCTGTTTTGATGTCCAGCTCTGAGATCCCTTCCAGGAGCTCCTGCTGATCCTGCCCGAGATCCTCCCCAAACCTGGAAAAGAGACAAAGGAAAAGGAACAAAGGGGCTACAGTCAGTGAGTGAACCACTGAAATGAGCTCACTGAATAGAGCAATCTGTGTGGGTACAAAGATACACAGTTCATGCCAATCTTCTTATTCTCGCTAAGATTTGAGATTTGAATCACTCGTGTGACTCGCTGTATTGCAGTGGTCTGGAACTGAACTCGCAGTATCTCCGAAGTCTGCCTGTTACTAAACATATAAATGAATTGTTAGAAAAATGGATCTGTTATTCTTAGAGAAAGTAGTCCTACTTAGACATTTTTCAGAGTAACATTTCTGTAAAAGAAGGCAGTAAAAATCAAATCCCCCTCTCCACGTGCTAGCACTGATCTAGGAACATGTTACAAGTAAACTATTTAATACTACACTTGAAGATTTATACAAACTCTTTTTAAAAATTGTCACTTAGGTGATTCTAATATGTGCAGCACAGAAGGACAGCCACTGCAGGCCACCTTCTCCAACTCTGAAGGCACTCCAGCCATGTGGCTGACAGGGTCTTGGTGCTCCGGCCGGGTGTCAGGCCTGAGCCTCTGAGGTGGGAGAGCTGAATTCAGGACATTGGTCCACCAGAGACCTTCTGGCCCTACGTAATATCAATCAGTGAGACCTCTCCCAGAGACCTCCGTCTCAGTGCTAAGACCCAGCTCCACTCAATGACCAGCAAGCTCCAGTGCTGGACACCCCATGCCAAACACCTAGCAAAAAGGAACACAACCCCACACATTAGCAGAGAGGCTGCCTAAAATCATACTAAGTTCACAGACACCCCAAAACACACCACCAGATGCGGTTCTGCCCACCAGAAAGTCAGGATCCAGCTGCATGCACCAGAAGACAGGCACCAGTTCCCACCACCAGGAAGCCTACACAAGCCACTAAACCAACCTTACCCACAGGGGGCAGACACCAAAAAAAATGGGAATTACGAACATGCAGCCTGCGAAAAGGAGACCCCAAACACAGTAAATTAAGCAAAATGAGAAGACAGAGACATATGCAGCAGATGAAGGAGCAAGGTAAAAACCCACCAGACCACACAAATGAAGAGGAAATAGGCAGCCTACTTGAAAATGAATTCAGAGTAATGATAGTAAAGATGATCCAAAATCTTGGTAATAGAATGGAGATAATACAAGAAATATTTAACAAGGACCTAGAAGAACTAAAGAGCAAACAAACAATGATGAACAACACAATAAATGAAATTAAAAATTCTCTAGAAGGAATCAGTGGCAGGATAACTGAGGCAGAAGAACGGATAAGTGACCTGGAAGATAAAAGAGTGGAAATAACTACAGCAGAGCAGAATAAAGAAAAAAGAATTGAGGATTGTCTCAGAGACCTTGGGGACAACATTAAATGTACCAACATTCAAATTACAGGGGTCCCAGAAAAGAAGACAAAAAGAAAGGGACTGAGAAAATATTTGAAAAGATTATAGTTGAAAACTTCTCAAACATGGAAAAGGAAATAGTCAATCAAGTCCAGGAAACACAGAGAGTCCCATACAGGATAAATCCAAGGAGAAACATGCCAAGACACATATTAATCAAACTATCAAAAATTAAATGCAAAGAACAAATATTAAAAGCAGCAAGGGAAAAGCAACAAATAACATACAAATGAATCTCCATAAGGTTAACAGCTGATCTTTCAGCAGAAACTCTGCAAGCCAGGACGGAGTGGTAGGACATATTTAAAGTGATGAAGGAGAAAAACCTACAACCAAGATTACTCTACCCAGCAAGGATCTCACTCAGATTTGATGGAGAAATTAAAACCTTTACAGACAAGCAAAAGCTAAGAGAATTCTGCCCCAACAAACCAGTTTTACAACAAATGCTAAAGGAACTTCTCTAGGCAGGAAACACAAGACAAGGAAAAGACTTACAATAACACACCCAAAACAATTAAGAAAATGGTAATAGGAACATACATATCGATAATTACCTTAAATGTAAATGGACTAAATGCTCCAACCAAAAGACCTAGACTGGCTGAATGGATACAAAAACAAGACCCATATATATGTTGTCTACAAGAGACCCACTTCAGAACTAGGGACACATACAGACTGAAACTGAGGGGATGTAAAAAGATATTCCATGCAAATGGAAATCAAAAGAAAACTGGAGTAGCAATTCTCATATCAGACAAAACAGACTTTAAAATAAAGACTATTACAAGAGACAAAGGAGGACACTACATAATGATCAAGGGATCAATCCAAGAAGAAGATATAACAATTGTAAATATTTATGCACCCAACATAGGAGCATCTTAATACATAAGGCAAATGCTGACAGCCATAAAAGGGAAAATCGACAGTAACACAATCATAGTGGGGGACTTTAACACCCCACTTTCACCAATGGACAGATCAACCAAAATGAAAATACATAAGGAAACACAAGGTTTAAATGGTACATTAAACTGGATGGACTTAATTGATATTTGTAGGACATTCCATCCAAAAACAACAGAATACACATTTTTCTCAAGTGCTCATGGAACATTCCCCAGGAGAGATCATATTTTGGGTCACAAATCAAGCCTTGGTAAATTTAAGAAAATTGTAATTGTATCAAATATCTTTTCTGACCACAACGCTATGAGACTAGATATCAGTTACAGGAAAAAAACTACTGTTAAAAATACAAACACATGGAGGCTAAAAAAGACGCTACTAAATAACCAAGAGATCACTGAAGAAATCAAAGAGGAAATTTAAAAATACCTAGAAACAAATAACAAAACACGATGGCACAAAACCTATGGGATGCAGCAAAAGCAGTTCTAACAGGGAAGTTTATAGCAATACAATCCTACCTCAAGAAACATCTCAAAAAAACAACCTAAAGCAATTAGACAAAGAACAACAATAAAAAAAAAAAACCCAAAGTTAGCAGAAGGAAAGAAATCATAAAGATCATATCAGAAAGAAATGAAAAAGAAATGAAGGAAACGATAGCAAAGACAAATAAAACTAAAAGCTGGTTCTTTGAGAAAATAAACAAAATTGATAAACCATTAGCCAGACTCATCAAGA